ACTGAGAACGTCGCTCTGGAAAGTGCCGGCTGGGATGAGCAAAGGACCAAGAAGCTGCTCCGCAAGATCGACAGCAGGCTGCTCCCCTTTCTCGCCTTGCTATACCTTCTATCCTTCCTCGACCGTACAAATATTGGCAATGCCAAGCTCGAGCGCCTTACGCAGGACTTGAAGCTCACCGGCCTCAAGTACAACGATGCGCTTGGTATCTTCTTCCCCTTCTACGTCCTCGCCGAGGTCCCCTCCAACATGGCCATGAAGCGCTTCCGCCCATCCATCTGGATCCCATCCATCATGGTTGCGTGGGGTATTTGCTGCACCCTTATGGGCGTTGTCACGAATTACCATGGCTTGATGGCAGTGCGGTCTTGCTTGGGTCTTGCTGAGGGAGGTCTCTTCCCTGGTATTACCTACTAGTATGTATCTCCTTTCTGCTTGCCGTTAAATCACAGTTACTTACAGTATTCAAGCATCACAATGTGGTACAGGCGTCACGAGTGCGGTTTCCGCATGGCCATTTTCTTCTCCGCTGCTACCGCGGCCGGTGCTTTCGGTGGTCTTCTGGCTCGTGGTATTCTGGAGATGAAGGGTGTCGGTGGCTACAATGGATGGCGCTGGCTCTTCATCTTGGAGGGTATCTTGACTTTCATTATTGGTATGTTAACCCGTCTTGCCTTTTCACACGGCTCATTTTCTGATGATTCCTTCTAGCCATCATTGCCTTCTTCGCCATGTACGACTACCCTCAGACTGCCAAGTTCCTCAAGCCTGAGGAGCGCGAGGAGATCGCCGCCCGTCTCAAGCGCGATCGTTCTTCCCTTGCCGATGAGTTCGATATCAAGTACTTCTTTGCTGCCCTCAAGGACTGGAAGATCTGGGTCCACATGTTCATCACCATTGGCGTTTACACTGGCTTGTACTCATACTCGCTCTTCGTCCCCACCATCATCAACAGCATCGGTACCTTCACCCCCGAGCAGAGTCAGCTCTTGACCGTCCCGCCTTATGTGGTAGCCTGCCTTTTCTGCATTAGCGCCGGTTGGTTTGCCGATAGGCTCAAGCAGCGTGGTATCTTCATGATGTTCTTCATGGGCATGGCGTACGTATCTCCTCATATCCATCTTTGGAACACTTACTAACGACTGAGCAGTATCATTGGCTTGATCATGTTGATGGCTACCAGGAGCCCCGGTGTCCGCTACCTCGGCTGCTTCTTCCTCGCTTCGGGTATTTACCCCAACGTTCCCCAGGGTGTCGCATGGAACGGCAACAACATTGGTGGCTCGCTCAAGCGCGGTGTCGGTATCGCCATGCACGTCGGTTTCGGCAACCTGGGCGGTGTCGTCTCCTCCTATCTCTTCCTCTCCAAGCAGTCTCCCCACTACTACCAGGGCTTTGGCACCCTTCTCGGCTGCCAGGCCATGGCTTTCGTCCTGTCCGCCTTCATGACCATCTACCTCAGGCGCGAGAACGCTCGCCGTGACCGCGAGTACAAGCCCCCAAGCGAGTACACCGAGGAGGAAAGGATTGCGGAGCGCGAGAAGGGTGACAATGCCACCTTCTTCCGCTACACTGTATAGCAGTGTCCACAACACATGCTGTTTGGACTTTCTTTACTGTTTACGACTTTGGGTCTTGTCATGATGGGAGGTACGATATGATGGGACATGGACATGGGATGGATGACAAGTACATATGATATGGGGACTGAACATATGGTATATGTTCATTGACGACTTGGCTGTTTTGTGACTTGGTGGTCGTCTGTACCATGCCTTGTACATGTTTAAATACCTACGGATTAATATGGGGCGGCGGCACTAGGGAGGTTTGGGTCATGACTGTTATGGATGGAATACCTAAGATCTCCTGTTGGATAGATCAAAACTACTTCTTGGATATACACCACTATCTATATCTACGTATCAGATATCATAATGCGCGTTCTGCTCGCACTTCTTGGTTATTGTGAGGTGCAAAGGGACGGGATCGATGGGGGTCCAAAGAAGGTTTTGAGGGGCTCCAGAGCTTCTCAGGGCATCAGATGATTGAAGGTACCTCTAAATATGCGCACTCAGTGCTCGGAGCACGTTTGCAGTCTTGGAGTACGTCACTCTATATCTGCACGTGCTCGTGTAGTGGCTTGGCTTATGCTCAGCATCTTTTGAGTCCAGGAATCCCCGGGCTCAGCGGCGATGATCGACAAAGGTGAGCCGAGCCACACACAGCCCTATCTGGCAGTCATGGATGACAAGCGACAAAGGTCAAAATATGTACCACTTGATCTCGACCAGGGGCATTCTTGTTGAACCAGCAAGGAGGCGAACATGAAGCGAATGAAACATGTTGTCTATCAGAATGGTCGCCGACCCTGAAAACTCGTGATTGGAGCATGAATAATTCTAAGACACAAAGTAGCCGTCTTTACTTGCAAATGGGATAGGATGTGGAGTCCATATTAGGCAGTGATCTATCAAAGTCTTGCCGAAAAATGCAAACCGAGGTTTGTCAAAATTACCCAACGTCCTCGATATCCTCCTCCGAGTAGTCTTTGAGAACAAGGTTTCAGGTTGCTACAGTCGTTCGTGGTTTGCTGACAAGCTGAGAGCATCTAGCGCCTAAGGTACCAGGGGCATCCCGGCGCTCAAGAACACCGAAACTTCCAGAGACGGGTTGATGTAGTTCCCGGTGCCAAGGACTTGGAATAGCATCGGTCGGGGTGTTCGTGCGAGGGAGGAGACACCCAGGGCTCGAAAACCAGATGAATTCCACGAGTGACCGACCTAAATACGGGAGGGAGGTATTGATAAGCGTGCGTAAGATCCGGAGCTCATTAGCATCGAAGCCTGCATGGCTCAGTGGTAGAGCGCATCTGGCTGTGGGCATTTCTTTTTCTATTCTTTTTCTCTATTTATATATCCACGCACGTTCCCGCCTCTCTTTTCCACTCCACCTGGAATGAAGGGATGAATGAGGTTTTCGGTATGCCGAGTTCTGCGGAGTCCTAGACTAGGTGTCAAACTTTTTTTGCCATGCGCTCCGCTGTCGTGGTCGCGCACCGCACGAGAGACACATGCATGCAGGCACCGAAACCGAAATGTTGGTACCCGGTGCGGGCCGTGCGGTGCGGGCATGATTGAGGTACTATGGAAAGGAAAGAGCGTGATGCGGGATGCGCAGTGCAGATTGAGGGGGTTGGCGACGACCTGAAGACTCCGATCCCGTTGCAACTCGTGTAAGAAGAAACAAAAGTCAGCTGCTTTGGTGATGCACGCGACACATGCTTGCTCACCTCATTGCAATGGGATCAACATGGCCGCCGTCAACACTCGCTGCCACGCGACCTCGATGTACCAAAGCATGCCCGGCTCCCAATCTGTTTACCTTTCCATGGCTGTCATGTCTGAGACCACCCCGACCAAATTTCAAGACCGGAAACATGAAGGCTATGATGTTGCCGTCGGACGCTGAGATGGATACCTCTATCGATTCGGCCGACGATGCTCGGCTACAACGATATGTATAGCGTTTCCTGGCCAGGGCTTCGCGATTAATAACACGGCTTAACACTGAGGTGTTGCCTGCGCAGTCACCACATCCAGGCACTACCATGGCTTTGCTTGAGCTCCTTGCTCGGCCTGCCTACTTGGCGCCGGCCGTGTTGATTCTCGGATTCATCGTTCACCATCTGTTCAACCTCCCGAATGCGGAAAGGACGGTGACTAGGTGGTTTTCCCTTACCCCGAGCCCGTTGGCGGACACTACGGGACTTCGAAAAAGCCCTCCGAGAGAGACGGAACGGAAACACAAAAGCAAGACGGTGATAATGATGTTGAGCTAACGAGGAAGTATTCTAGATGGTGCCAAATTGAAGGGGTGTCGACAGAGTTCCGATTTTCCGGATGATAGGGAGAATGGAATGGGTTGGCCGGGAGGAGTTGACGAAACTAGGGTACCTGGGGAGATGAACGAGATAGATGGCATGGCGGCTGGAACGAAGAAGAGGGAAGAGGTAAGGTAGGTACCTTACCCAGCTCACACAAGGACACTTTTGTAGCATACCGAACCTTGGAAAATTAACAGAACTCTCAGTCCTACGTACCTTGCGGTACCTACGCGTCTGGTAGCCATGTGCACATGGGTCGACCACTCACTGTGTGCATCACTTCATTGATGTGTTCCGTACCAGAAAGCGGGAACGCCAGACGGATGTATACGTACAACAACAAACATAGATGTGTTGATACACAAACAACAAAGAGAGCGAACTGATAAAAACACATGGAACAATAATAAACGCATAAAGGGGAAAAAAAAAAACTTTTTGTTGTTTTGGCTAGAATAACAACACCCATATTGAGTCCCAAGCCGCGCCTTCATACATAAGTGGTTCCACAGACACCTAATTTCAACAACAACGACCACTAGTCACTTTGGCGGAGTGGTTAACGCGCTGCCCTGCTATTCGCAAGAAAGCATGTTAGGCAGTTCCCTCGGGAGCACAGGTTCGAATCCTGTAGGTGACGCATAATTTTTTAGTTTTTTTTTTTGATCTGCTTGTTATCGGCGGCTGTGCAGATCTTCTGCGCAGTTCGTCCATTCTCTTTTTCCTTTTTGCTTCGCGCTGTTTTTCGGAGTGGAAAAAGTGGTGATGCGCTTGATTGCAGTCATTTGGTTTTTGTAGGCTCGGACGTCCTGCACAATTGCGCCAGCTTGAAGAAGTTCCGTTGGTGTACTTTTTGGTGAGCCAAGTCGCACCTTCCCAGGAATCTCGTTCAAGTTCAAAGACCGTGCCTTCCTCTTGAGCAGAGACACCGGATACCTGTCTTCGGAAAGCTTGGGACTTGGCAGTTCATCCCAACTTCCGTCTTCCAGAGGTGCATCACTGGCATCAAAGTCCGGGGTCCCTGGATTGAGGAAACAAAAAGGAAAAAACACAACTCCCAGCATCACCGAAGTTCAGAGAACAGAACCGCGCAAAGCAAAAAGTCAAAAAAAGTTGGACTAACCGCGGATTGAACGCGGGACCGTCTGTAGATCCAATGAAGCATTGCAAAACAGAAATCATACCACTAGACCATTAGCCCATAAGATGATAGTTAGGAGAGAAGGGAGAGCTTATATGGGGCTAGTGGGTAGCGGCTCCGCTTTGGAGGTCAAGCTGAGATGCCACGCCAACAACGACGACAGCATACGAAGGAGGGCTCAATTGGATTATCATGATCAACCAGGCGGCACTTAATGATCGATGGCTGCTCAAAGTATCAAACAAAGACTTCAAGTCACTTCGAACAATAGTATGCTCAAAACACGGCGTAGCAGCAGCCCACTCCCATTGAGTCCGGATTCGAATACCACGAAAAGCAACGCATTTTGTCTATCATGTCCTAATCATTCATCATCCATCAATCATCCATCCTTTACCTGGTCTTGGCAATCATCTCCTCTGGCTTCATGCCCCGTCCCTCAACCAACACACCCGCCTTCCTCAAGATGTTCACAGTCTTGTCAATAACCGCCTCATCAACGCCCTGCACCTTCTTGGGGAACTTGACAGTCTTCAACCACTCCCTCGCATCCTCCTCCGAGTAATCCAGCTCCGTGCTGATGTACTTGACCGCCTCATCCTGGTGCTCCTCAAAGTGCTTGATACCCTCATTGATCTTCTCCATGGCCTCCTCCACGCGCTCATCCAGCTTCTTTTGGTCATCAAACAACTTGGTAGAAGCGACAATCTTCCAGCTGCTCCAGGGCGTGTAAATCTCGCCCACGCGCCTGATCTCGCCCGAGTCGTAGTACTTCTTGCTCGTGAAATGCTCCCACATGAAGAAATCCGCTTCCCCAGAATTGACCGCGTCCCGCAAGTTTTTGAACGTGTTGAGCACCACGAAATCCGAAAAGGGGGAGGCAGTCTCAACATCCGTGCCCACCGCCGTCGTCGGCACCAACCAGTCGCGCTGATCAGCCAGCACGTAACCCATCACGTAACTGCCCGATCCGATTCTCGACACACCGATCTTGCCGCCCTTGAGCGAGTCGACGGACTGGATCTCGGGCCGCTTGGCGCCCGTCGAGATGGCCCAACACAAAGGGGTTTCGACGTAAGTGCCGACTAGACGGTAGCCGCCATCGGTGCCGAAGGAGGCGTCCTGGGTGGAGTCCTTGCCGAGTCCGGCGACCCAGCCTTCGGTCAGGCCGACGGCTACATCGATCTCGCCGGAGCGGAGTGAGGTGATCATGTGCCCGGTGCCGGAGGGGAAGGGGACGAGTTCGGCGGAGAGGCCGTAGTGCTTTTGGGCGAAGTGGATGGGGGTGGAGAAGTGCTCGGGCACGAAGCCGATTTTGAGCGGGGCGGCGGACATGATGATGGTGGTGGTGGTGGATGTGAAGGTTCTGACTTGGTGATGTAGATGGTTGAGTCGGAGCGTGGGTTTGAATGAAGCTGTCGATGTCGCTGCTGGTGACAGGCGCAGTGAGATTGCCTCTGTTGTTTTATAAATGTACTGCTGAAAATGACGCAATGCGGGGCGCATGAAGGATGGTGGTGACGCGTTGATTGATTGTAATGGAAAGAATTTCTCTTGTAGAAAATGGAATGAATTCTTCTGTTGGGTTTTCGGGAATAAGAGGAAGGAATTCCGGCAGTGTTGTTCCGGATCGACAGTCAAACGGGCGATTGGTCAAGTCTCCGGCACAGGCCGTCCGCTTGCCCCGCTTGCCCCGCGCGGGCCCCGGCGGTCACTGAAGACGGAAGGGGAGGTGCCCTGCGTTCGGGACCGCCCGGTGGGTCCACCGTCTCCGGCCATGTGTTCATCCGCCGTCCGGGCGATACAGTGGCAGGGAAGAGCCTGTTTAATGATAATTGTTATGCTGAAGGATGGACATCGGACGGATGCTTCCCGTTTGCGACCTTCCATCCAATCCACGACATCACGTCACCCAAGCTCTTCTCTCTTCTTGCAAACCAAGACCGATCAATATGCTATTAAAAATTCGAAAAATCTAGGTGAAAGAAAGTTATGGCTGTTTTGTTACACGAAATGTCTAGACCTGACCGCCGCTCTATCCTCTGATTTGCGATCTTGACGTCCGCCATCTCTGCTCGCCCTCTACGCATACTTGGGGGCATTCTGCGGCGAAAAGGGGTTTCCCTTGAAGAATCCTTCTGGAAGCTCGAACTTGGCGTCAACGGACCCCCGAAGCAGCTGGATTATGGTGTCGACAATGTCGTGGCCCCAGTTGTATTCCGCAAACTTGGCCTGGGAATCTGTGCAATGGAACCAAGGTCAGCATCCCGTCTTCGAGGCACCGTGTCTTCCAAGATGAACATACCCAGAGGAACGCTAACGTATTGTGCCACCTCTCTAGCGACTCTTTCAGCTTGGTCCACTCCGGCGTTGCTCATCACCTGGATAGCGCTTGCCCTGTGCCTCCTGGCCTTCTCGAAGATGGCCAGCCTCTCCTTGATATCCTCAGATGTGGCGCCACTTAACGAGATACCAAGGGCAATACCGTCTTCGATACCCTGTGCGCCACCTTGGCCTTGGTGCGGCAACATGGGATGGGCTGCGTCTCCGATGATGATCATCTTCCCTTTGGTCCAGGTGGGCACAGGGCCACGATAGAGGAGAGGCCAACGCTTTACTTCGCCTGCTTTGCTGTATTGCGGAAGACCATGTTAGCAACCCAATATGGGAGAAAAGAAAGCGCAATGACATACTTCAGTACAGCCTGGAGAGAAGGATGGAACTCGGCAAACGTCTTGAGCAAGTGGGACTTGTCGACAGGTGTTTGCCAATCTTCCTTGGTAGCGCCAATCAACTCGTCATCGTGGAACATGCCAACACAGTTCCAGACCTCACCACCACGGCATGGATACGATATGAAGCGGTTGCCCAACTTGCTGGCCGTATAGATCCTCATAAGACCCTCTTTCTCGCCATTCTTGTTCCACCACGCTGTCTCCTCGTCGGCATCTAGGTCAGCAGTCGGGATGAGGAAGCGGTAACATCCATTGTAGAGCGCTTGAGGCTCTGGCTTGTTGGCATATCCAAGGATGGCCTCAACAGCAATGGAATGCACACCATCTGCGGCAATAACAAGGTCCGCCTTTTTCACGATACCAGAGCTAAGGGTAATGGATGGCTCCTCTGGGTTCTATAAGGGGAAATAGTTAGCATAAGGCTGTCTTCGATCCCGTGTCTCGGTGACTTCTCGCTACCGTGTCTAGTATGATGATCTTGCGTGGACGGGAGCGTAAGGGGCCGACTGTTTCATCTCCACGTTTTGGATATTACTCACATAAGCGACCACCTGCACGCCCAAGTTCAACTCGACAGGCTTCCCCGGACCCTCTGGCCCCATCGCCAGCTTCTTCAAGGACTCATGCAAGTCGACTCGGTGGGCAAAGTACAGAGGACCGCCAAACACCTTGGGAACCCAGTCACCGAGTGGAGTGAAGTCGAACTGCTGAAGAGCGGCTCCGGATCCAATGGCGATGCCGGTAGACGGAACGAACTTATTCTCCACAGGATCCAGGCCCCATGCCACGAGGGAACGGTTGGCGTTCGGAGGCACATGGATGGCGGCGCCAACCTCGTTGTTGAGCTCTGACCGCTCGAAGATGCGGACTTTGTGGCCCGCACGGCGAAGCGAGATGCCGGCAGCCAGCCCTGCGATGCCGGCTCCGACGATGATCACATCGAGGGGCTGGTCTTGAGTGAGGGCAGGCATGGTGATGGCAGTATGTGAGTGAGTGAATATGGAAATGCAACCAAGGCTCAGAAAGTACTCATGCAATGAGACTGACAGGCAGAGCAGGACAAGACAGGACTTGGTAAGGAAGATACAGTGACACAAAGGATCAAAAGCAGCATTCCTGGCCCACGGCGTGTTCCCAATAAGAAGGCAGAAGAAGACACCACGGGGATTCGGGACCATGCAAGGTCTTTACCCCTGACCCAAGGATTACAAACTATTCCGGCTTTCACCGTCCGATAGTGGAATCTCTGCTATCACTACAACGCAGCATGGCGGAAGCTTTCGATACGACCCGTGACATGATTGTATACCCGGTTAGGTCGGCAGGATGGATGAGACAAGCCATGTGTTATGAGGCGAATTCCATTCCAAGGGTCTTGTCACATCAGGTATGTGTTCCGCATCTCTCATTTTGGCCTTGATCTGGAACCAGAGGCTCCAAACCCGAGTAACTGAGAAACAACAAAAAGGATATCACCAACGACATCTCACAACAGGAAACCCACTAGGGAAATGGAGATTAAAAGGACGAACCCAGGAAGCACCAAAAGACCCCTCCGTGGAACAACCGTTACCTTGCAAGATGTGTCCCGCGGGAGGAAAGATTGCGTTACCTTGGCTATCTAAAAGAAGCAATGGAATCGCATGAGACTTACCTCGGGGAGTTACGCTATCTCGGCCCTTGATCTCCAATATTTTTTCGCCCACAGCAAGGGGTCAAGTTTGGTCGGAGCACACCTTCCTGGCCAAGACATGGGACCCAAGGGAAAATCGCAGACCGTAGCAGGTTGACACTGGCAGGGTCGCTTCAGTCTGGTCCTTGTCGACCCGCCGCAGAGCAACATCAGGACCTTGACATATCTCTCATCATATTTCCCGGGCCTCTCTCTCGCATTATCTGATGCTCGATAGTCGTCGTGATATGGCGCCGTCACTGGGTCTAAACAAGCCTCAGCATTGGCGGGGCTAGAAAGACCCATCATTCTGGAATTGCACAAAAAGAAAAGAACAATCCCATCACAAAAATCTGAGGGGAGAAACATGACACATCACTGGTTACCAAAGGGAGAATTGTGGCAGAGACATTGAATATCAAATACGTGCAGGGGAGAGCAATTGCGCTATGACGGGCTGAGCTTAGCCGCTGTAACGTTAACGATCCAGGGGTATTGAGTGCTCGAGCCCCCCAAAGACCCAAGGCCCCCCCCCTCTGGAGGATTGGCCGCTAGGTCGCTAGCGAGCCGTTCCGGAAGTGGATGAGTTTGAGATGAGTGGGGGAGCCAGTCAGGAAAACGACATGGTGCGAATTGCTTCACTTTCCCATACA